CCCCAAAACCCCAAAACCCCAAAACCCCAAAACCCCAAAACCCCAAAACCCCAAAAGGTCAAAATCAGGCTGAAATTTGTACTTAAAACAAAGCCTGTAAGCGTAATTATCTGTAAAAATTAGAACTTCATGTTGTGGCTACACATAAGGCATTGGACAAAGGTAGTCATTGGCTCATCAGCAGATCTAGTCTGCTGCTCGTAGAAAGTAGTCTTCTTGCTCTTACATTTCTCACAAGTGTACATTCCTTCCTTAATCTTACTGTTAGCGAGGATATAGTCTGACCTTTTTGAGTCTATTATTCTGGTCTCCTTTTTAGCCCTCTTCTTTTTCAATGAGTCTTCTAAGAAATCTCTGGGGTTCATTGCAGCTAGGTCATCTGGAGTGAAAATCCCGTTGATAATCTTGCTTCTAAATTCATCACTTCTTTGTAGATTTGCAATGATGCTTCTGCATTTATTCGTATACTCTTTTAAATGAGTCCCTAGTCTAAGCACAACTGAATTTTCGATTTTGATTGACAACGCTTTGCACTTCTTTGGATTTTCATTGGACTTACAAAGGAGTTTTTCAAGACCTAAAAATAGTAAGTAGAAAATTTACCTTTTCTAATCCCATTCCTGACCTTGTCCTCAGTCTCATTATTGAGTATGAATTCATCATAGTCTTCTTCATCTTCAGGACTCTTTGTTTCATCATCTTTTCCTTCATTCTCATCCTCACTAGAGTTAGAATTAGGTTTTGAGTCATCTGGCACCACTGAATCAGGATGAACTAAACCTTTCTCTTCTGCACCTTTTTCACTCAGACTCTTATTTTGAGACTGGGTAGAGCCAGAACGAGTACTTTTTCCACTACTTCCTGAACTCTTATTCACTCCTTTAATCTGGGTTTTCCACTCATTCAAGACTCTTTTGGCAGCTTCTTTGATTTCTTTATTCTTGCTCCTAGACCAAGTAGTCATCTTCTTCCCAGCAAGAGTTGTTTTCAGGATATCCCTATTGACTCGGTACTCTCCCATGTAGTTAATGGTATCAATCTTTTCCTGGATATTTCCTTTGCACTTGCTAAACTTCTTGATCAGATCTACTAAGTTCTGGATGGTATCTTCCTGATTGATTGGAGTAGACATTAATTTAAATATTTATTCAAGAAATGCTTATATATCAGGGGTTTTGGGGTTTTGGGGTTTTGGGGTTTTGGGG